CCGCGCCGCGTCGGGAAAAGGACCAAAAGGTCGACTCGAAGGTGATCGAGGCCCGAACTTATGCCAACTTACCAGAATGTCCTGCAGTAATTCGTGCTCATCCAAGAGAATCACCTTGCAGTGCAGAAGACGAGGCCTGTTGCTCCTGGTCGGCCTGAGTCCAGGGCACAGCCACTCAACCACCATCGCTTCCCTCCTTCCTTGGTCAAGAATTCGACTTTGTATACCTGATTATCTGCGCTGGCTCCGACTCGTGCACGTTTATCCACTCGGCGCGTTTGGGTTCGCGCTCATCCTGAAAACACACGAAACGTTCTTTCCGTCGCTATCAATTCGCTTTGAATTAACATAAGCTGTGTTTTACGAATCGGTAGGTACCCACGCAATACCTGCAACTCAATCAAGTAAAAATGTCTAAAGTGCGAAAATCACGAGTGTGTGCAGATCCTCTGCATTCCTTATCACACCCAGACTGAGACGTTTTACATTAATATTAATGTATTTATTAATATATACGAATAAAATTCGATAGATAAAAGACTCGTGGACAAGAATGGGGAAGAATTTCCAAGAGAAGCTTTCAAGAGAGGATCGCGATCGCGTCTAAGACTACGATTTTCCGCGTGGACGTTATTCAGCAACAGTTGGAGAATATGAAACTGTCATAAATAGCGGTGATCGGCCGGACGGTGTTCATTGTTTACCGTTATACTTTATAGTTACCGCTTGAATGGTGAACGATCTGCAATGAGCATAAGTCTCGGCGCGCTTCGATGATAATATACCTATGTATCGGACACTCGATCGTTCTGATTGCGCGTCAGTAACTTGAAGCTGCGCATCTTATCGAGGAAGGAGAGATTTCGGAAAGAATACAGATAAGTAAAATAAATAAAAAAAACATCTTGCATTTGTATGAAGCGTGCTCTCGAGTCGAGAGGAGGCAGCTCCTATTACGCGGAGGACTCTCTCGAAACGTATAGGTGAACCAACATTCGCCGTTCGAGACACGTGGCGTCTCGCAACGAAAGACGGGCGGGGATTCAAGTACACCTTTTGTCCTCGCGTATATACGCGCCGTCGCTTGAGAAAAATGCCCGTACACACAATGTGGCCCAAGTGTGGCGAGTGCCATTGAACTCGGTGAGGAGCGGAGACGGGCTCCGCGTAGTCGCGTCGAATGGAACTGGTTTCGAATCCAGGATCTCTCGCAATCGCGCCTGATATAGGAGAGATAATAGAAACCGATAAACCCATTGGCCCGATTAAACGATTAACAGAGACGACATCGCGACTTTTTTCTGACAAGAGCAAACAGAAAAGAAGGAAGAAAGAAGATTTGCCGAACGTTCGGCAAATGTGATCGACGTCGTTTTGGGCTCGAAAAAAAAAAGAAAAAGAAATCGTCATATATTATACTCTCGATACACAGTTGAGGTACTCGTGTCCATTTTTACCAATGTAAATTAACTTTAATGTCGGTTTAATTTACTTATTTTCCTTTTTTAATTTTAGGAATTATATGTTAATTAGGAAAAAAAGTATATTAAATCAAGATTTAAATTGATCTACATTGGTAGAAATAGACATAGGAAGTATTAGGAAAAGATAAAGAGTAAGCTAAATCGAGATTACAGTTAATCTACATTGGTAAAAATAGACATAAGTAAGGAAAGATACAAGATAAGTTAAACGAGATTAATTTACATTAGTAGAAATGGACATGAATGTAATAACGGTGCATCGGGAATACTAGTATATTATACGTCGAATGTTTTTTCTCCTTTTTTTAATAAACGTCAGGAAAATATTCACGTAAATATAAGTACGACGGGTAGACGAGTTTCCCTTTCTTTCTCTGTCTTTTTTACTTCCTCTTTCTTTTCTCGTTCCCTTTTGGCTTTTCTTCAAGTGCCCGCAAGCACTTTGACTGCCGTCTAACGATCGGTATATTAGCATAGAAATTCTTGCGACACCCAGGGGTCATTATTTATCTCGTAGATGTCTCGGCAATACGGAATGCTCGTGTAGATGAAAAATATAGTTAAGTGTTTTTTTTTTCACTTGACTCGTCCTCCCTTTCGCATACTCCGGCATTCCGACGACGTCGTCTAATTAGCGTGTGATTTGCATCGAGTGTAAGAACACGCGTGACTCTTTCATTGAAAAAGTATTTTCTGACGCGTACTTCCGGCCTCGCAATTGAAAAGAGAACGACGCGAGAGACAACGGTGGCTAACAATAACAATCCTTTTTAATTGAAATTACTGTAAAAAATAAATAATAATTTTATGATACAAAAAATTTCGTGAAAAATTTTCATATTATGATGCTATGTTTGTATAATAATAATAAATTATTACTTATATATAAGATTTGTTTCCCAGTTGGGTATAATTATTAAGACAGCATGAAGAAGATGAAAAAATAATTACAATTCTCATTCGGTTGCATTTCTACTCCGTTTTTCTTGTTACTCGATATTGTCTCCATCAAAACTTGATTATTATAATGTAAGCAACAGACAATAAATGTATCCTTTTTATGAAATTCGAATTTCGTAATTAAACCACGCTCTCTACAAATAAAACGTATGTTATATTATAATTTCGCAATTTATACAATTTTATAAAATTTTATAAAAATTATAAAATTAAAAATCTTTCGGTCTTATTGAAAACTGTTTCAATTCGATATATAGTATGTGTATGCCTCAATTACTTCATTACTTCATACGCGCATTCGCCTGTCGGAATTGAAAAATGTTTTCGATTAGGCAAAAGTACTTGTACTTTTCCCATTCATACACATTGCAATCAAACGTCTCGCGATCAAAATAAAGACGCGATTAAAGCGTTGTAAGAGAAGGAATTAAGATAAATAAAAAAATGTTAGGTATCCAAGAATTGCAAGTACGCACCTCCGTACGTTGTGATTTACGTTCAGAGTTGTCGCGTGATGGCCTTGGGAGAATCGCTGGGCACTTCCGGCACTTTTCGACACTTGCAGCACTTCCGGTACCAGTCAGAACCTTGGGAGTAACGCGAAATTTTCTTTATTGTATACTTATATATCGTGCGACGCGCGACGTACCGACCGGCATGTATGTACATGCAGAGAATACGCGCGTAAGAAAGAAAGAGGGAAAAAAGGAGCGGCGTCTTCCTTATAAACACGTACACTTGCGTTTCACTCGGTGCACGCGCGTACGAGGCGTTCGGTACGGAGTCAAGTCAAGCGGGTCGTTGTCGTCGCTATCGCGCGTGTGCGATTGGGTGCGATTGGGTGCGATTGGGGCATGATCGTACTTTTATCGGCGATCGCGCGTCTCTTGGAGGCGCCTGTCGGTAGCGGTACCAACAAGTCGTACGCGGTCCGCGGCGCGCACTCGCGCCGATCGTTACGTTCGCGACTGTTCGCGACGAAGGAAGACTCGCGATTGACAGTTCCGACACTTCTGACGTTCTGAGTTCCGCGTATTTTAACGAAGCCGCATCGCGTTGCGCGATGGACGCGAGCGGCGAGAGTTTTCAAGTTATTCGGCGCGGCGCGCAGCGACGCGGCCGACGCGAGCCGAAAAGACGTCGTCGGGTCTGTCGGGAGTGGTCGGGACTGTCGGGACAGAGGGAGTGGGATGAGGTGGGCGAGGCGGCCAATGGTTCGCCTTCGCCTTCGCTTCGCTTCGCAGTCTGCTTCGCGAACAGAGAGGAGAGGGAAACAGAGGGAAAGAAACTAGAAAGGAGCGGAAGACAAGAAGACAAAGAGGAATAGGCGCGAGGCAACTCAGCCAACGAACCTCGTCGATGCCTCCATCTGAATAAGTTGAATACCACCAACCGTTCGGCGTGACCTGCATTATCGTACAATTACCGATAATGCAGGTCGCGCCGAAGACACCATCCAATCTCGGTCGATAAGTGGGAAAAATTCAAAAATTGAACGATTTCAACGCGCCACACTAATAAATTTCACGTTTTTCAGTTGATTTTATAATCAATTTTAATTGGATTTAGTTGTCTTTTGTTGCGATAAGTTTTATTTAGATCTCAATCAAAGAACAACGTGCGTTAAAATAATCAAGAATTACTGGTAGAGAATCGAAGTAATTTTCGAATCTGATCGAGATCAACTTTTAATAGGACAAATGTTTCGTTCCAAAAATTGTCGATTTTATCGAAGAACTTGAAATAATTGACCAACAAATAAACATTCGATATCTTCAGATATATCATACAAGTAACATCTACAATTGAATCGCGCTTATCGCGAATATATTAGTCGCATTTGCCTAAGCACTTCGAAGAAGCGAGCTATACTGAGAATCCTGTTATACTAGGAATTAACCCAAGGCACAACTGTGACGTCATTAATCGTTCCCTGGGCGATTTGTTTTCTCTCTCTCTTTTTCTCTCTCTCCCCCCGCCAATTTTCTCAAATGTATACATATATATTTGCTTCTAAACTGAAAAGGAGAAGTAACTTAACATATAATTATACGAGCGGGGAGATATCGAGCGATTCTTCGTCTTCAGCCGTCATACAATCGCGCTCAGCTGTTTCGTGTCAGGTGACTTTGACGTTATCTGCTATGCAGTTAAATAGGGATTATCTGTTACGACTACGTACACTAGGCGTCATTGATGCCTTCCAGCTTGAAATTTATAATTTCCTCCGATCGTACACATTATATCTATACACTGTTAAAAAAAAGAAATTTACTTTCATTACATGTAACGGAAGTAAATTTCCTTTTTTTTAGCAGTGTATAGATATAATCTGTACGATCGGAGGAAATTATAAATTTCAAGCTGGAAAGCATCAATGACGCCTAGTGTACATGCATATGTGTACGTATGTACATACACATTCCCACATACGCGCGTCGCGCGCGCATGAAGAAGGGGGTAATCGTCGGGAGAAGAGGGAGAGAGAGACGCGATACGTTCTCGCTCGCGTCGCATGCTCGTGCGTCCGCGGTTCGCTCGTTGCGTCAGTTTCTCTCTCTCTCTCTCTCTCTCTCTTTCTCTCTTTCTCGGCGGGTTGAGAATAATTCGTTCAAAAAGCCCCCTTTCGACGGCCGCGCATGGGTCAACTCGCACGCGGAAACGGGCGCATAAATGCATCTCTCTTGATAACCGGGCGGGCGCAGCCAATCGAGAAGGTGGGTTTCTCTCTCTCTCTCTCTCTCTCTCTCTCTGTTTCTCTCTGCAGAAAAAAAGAAACATTACTCCCCCCTTCCTTGTCGGTTGCTCGAAACGCGATTCACCGTCGCAACGCACCCTCACGCATCCACGCGACAGTATTGCTTGCCGTTTGTCGAAGCAGCGTGTGAGAGACTCCGCGCGCACGAGAGAGAGAGAGAGAGAGAGAGAGAGAAAGAAAGCTCGAGGGCAGACTTCCAGACAGACGGTTACGAAAAAAAAGAAGGCGAATTGTAAATTCGCGAAAGTTCTCTCCCCTCGACGCCCTCGAGCGTCGACGCGTCGACGCGTGCTCGAACGAAACGCTCTCGACGAGTTCGTCACGACGCGACGGCGACGCGTCAAAATCGTTTTCTTTCCGCGTGAGAGACTGTCAAGAGATTCCGTTCTGCTCCGCTCCCGAATACTCTAACCATCCAACACGGCTCTCGTGCCCTGTAATCGTCGTGCCCGATAATTCGTTCCCCCTCCTGTCCCGTCTACGGTCTAAGTCTAAGTTCGTCCAAGCCGTTTCTCGCGATTGGAGCTCGGAGTACGCTTGAACTTTCACGGTCGTAAAGGTTATGCCGAAAGGTGCTTTCCTCATTTGACATTCATCTCCGCGTCATGGTATCCCTGTAACATTCACAGCGTTTGATCGTCGGCTAACGTGTAGAATGTTTTCTATGCAGATGTCGAGCGAGAATGACAGCGAGATGGATTGCTCGGACTCCGACTGCGGGGATCCGGGCTATGAGGACTATTATAACATCCAGCCATGGGGAGGCGACGTGGATAACGACGTAGACCCGGAGCAAAACAGGAGAGATCCTGAGTACGCGGTCTACGATTGTTTACGAGTCGAACAAGTGGAACGGCTTCTGAATGAGAGTGTAGAGGTGTTAAGTACTAGCCTTCACGTCACGCCATCCCTAGCCAAAGTGTTGCTGCACGCACACAATTGGGCGTCACAGGATATTGCCACAAAGTACCGTACCAATGCTTCCAGTTTATTAATTAATTCAAAGATTAAGCCTACCCCGGAACAAGTGCCAGGAACAAAGAGTCAGCGGGGCGGCGTGTGTTTGGTTTGCGTCATGGTTTGTCCTGCAGACAAATTTGCTACACTCACGTGTGGACATTCGTTTTGCAAAGACTGTTGGTGTATGCATTTTGAAGTACAAATAACTCAAGGTATATCTACTGGTAAGTAGTATTCCTCCACAGTGGTAGTTGTACTTGTTTTGCTAATTTTTGTCAAAAATCTATTGATATTTGTCTTACCTTAGGTATAAGCTGCATGGCACAAGATTGCGATGTTCTAGCTCCAGAGGACTTTGTCCTTTCCCTACTTACTAAGCCTAACATGAGAGAAAGGTATCAGCAATTTGCCTTCTGTGATTATGTCAAGTCTCATCCACAACTTCGATTTTGTCCTGGTCCAAATTGCCAAATAGTTTTGCGCTCCAAGGAACAACGAGCAAAGAGAGTCAAATGTTCATCTTGTAAAACTGTATTCTGGTAAGTAAACGTGGATGCCTGTTATATACCTGTATGCCAAATATTTTATGTTACAAGACTGAGAAAACACTGTTGCAAATTCCAGCTTCCGATGTGGTATGGATTACCATGCACCTACCGATTGCAGTACAATTAAAAAATGGTTAACGAAATGTGCGGATGATTCAGAAACGGCGAATTACATTAGTGCTCATACCAAAGATGTGATTATTTTTCATTGCTTGTAGAGTAGTTTCTAAAGCATAACGGGAAACGCTTAATGCATTGTAAAATATTTTTGCAGTGTCCAAAATGTCATATCTGCATAGAGAAGAACGGTGGCTGCAATCATATGCAATGTTACAATTGTAAGCATGACTTCTGCTGGATGTGCCTTGGAGATTGGAAAGCACATGGTAGCGAATATTACGAATGCTCGCGTTACAAGGAGAATCCAAATATCGCGCATGAGAGCGTTCACGCACAAGCGAGAGAAGCTCTTAAGAAGTATCTTCACTATTACGAGCGAGTGAGTTTGACTTGATAATAACGTAGCCATTGGATTATAATTTTTGCTTCATTTTTTATGTTTTATGATCGCTATATTTTGTACTGTTTTAGTGGGAGAATCATAGCAAATCATTGAAATTGGAGGAGCAAACGTTAGAGGGGATTAAGATGAGAATTAATAATAAAGTAATGAAGGCTAGTGGTACTTGGATAGATTGGCAACACCTATTTGAGGCGGCATCGCTCTTAGCGCGTTGTCGTTACACTTTACAGTACACATACCCATACGCCTATTACATGGAATCTGGTCCACGCAAAGAACTGGTAAGACCTCGCGATAAAATAATAACAAAAGATAATAATAGTGTTCGACAAAATATATGTATGATAATAAATGGATATTGAATTGTTTTGCTAACAGTTTGAATATCAACAAGCTCAATTAGAAGCAGAAATAGAGAATCTCTCATGGAAGATTGAACGAGCGGAAACAACAGATCGGGGAGATCTAGAAAATCAAATGGACATTGCAGAAAAGCGTCGTGTTACTTTATTGAAGGATTTCCTCGAGGTATAATTAATTGAGTACTAGCTTCATTCTCAGTTGTAGTCCATGAAATCGGATCTAAAATCACATTGTAATCACAATTGTAATATTTTATTTTTTAAATACCGTCTATTAGCAATTTGCAAAGCATTTCACATATACATGTATGTACATATGTACGTTCATGTATGTATATATTTATATATTTATATGTATACGTATATACATGTTTGTATGTACAAAGGACACGATTGTGTGTTATGCAATTTGTATGAAATTGTTATGCGGTATTAATTAAGGTTAATTATAAGTAGCTCAGTTCTGAGAAAGAATATTTTTGTTTTATAGTAAGACAGTGTGGGATGCGACTGTAAAGACTAAAAGGATGTGATTTTGTCTGAGTATTATCGGTACAGGGAATAATTTAGCAGCACCATGTCCTCAATCGTTGTTTGAATCTGGATAGAGATTGTAACAATATCATGTATATTAGTATTGGTTTTAAACTAAAGACGAATTTTTTCACGTTTCACCAAAATAATCTTTAGGATAACTTGTCTTATGCAGCGACAAAGACTAGAATTTACTTAAATTCCAAAAATATTATTATGACGAAATCGATGAGGAAAGTATTAACCGTCTCGACGACTGATTTATCGATAAATTCGATGATGAAAGCGTATATCCTTTTCCTAGTCTAAGAGTATTTTTCAAAAGCGCGTCACACGGAACGCTCCCTTTCCTTTTCTCATTCTGTATTCACTGAAGTACATATACATAAGACTGCATTCAACAAATAAAGTAATTCAGTAAGCGTTCAATGATTTTTTATTAAATATGATTCTTGTTTTTAATTATTTACTGGATTAAACATAAAAACCAATCGTACTAAAGAATCTGAAGTAAATAAAAAAACTGGGCCTATATTCTTGAACTGTATCACATACGAAAATTTATGGCCGCTATTCATAGTCTATTTTTATTTTAAGATCATTTTAAAACGGTTTTAAATAAAGGAAGTCAACTATAAATACAAATCTATCATATAGGTATACGTGATGTATACTATACTACCATAGTATTTTTTTACGCGATATTTTTCGAGAATAAAGCTCCTGAGCGCTCACTGAGCTTTGTCTGCTGAACACAGTTATACATTTCTACTGACGCTAATCGCACAGTTCGATAGAAGGCACCGTGTAGGAGGTACGAAAAGTATCAGAGGACCGTACGTCTTCTCTACTGTTCACGATTCTCTCTCCGAACCTTATTCGGAGTATTGTTAATGCTTAAGATACGTTTACGCCCAATGATCGATTAAAGAAAGAAAGAAAGAAAAAAAGAAACGGTAGCCTAATTTAAGTACTCCGGTGCCAAGAGATGACGGTACTACCCGCCGTGTATACACTAAGCAGAATTAAACGTGTACGTCAAGGGATAGAAGGAGGAATGCGACGCATTTTCTATTAAACTAGATTTTAAAGAATACATGCAACGATCAAAGATATCCGCGACACACCTAGCTGTAATCGAACTTACATATTTTCTAAGCTATTTAAAAAAAAAAACAAAAATTCACCGTACCATTATAACTTTTACTTTGCGCTACAAGCGCGAGGAAGGACGTAGGTATCCAGAAGTCCAAATTTCAAAGTTCTTCGAAACGCAATGTAATAATTGTAATGTCTCGATAAAAGGAATAAGATCTTTCAACGTAAAACTAAGATAACGGTAAGATGACAGTTTTCGAGAGATCGAAAAGCAGAGAGAGCCGAGCGCGAGTGATAAGTCTCTTGATTTGTTCCTCTTTGTATGTAGAACTTCTCGAATGTGCAATGTGGGAAGTAATCATTACCGCATAAGAATATTAAAGTATGTATATAAATTAATACTAATAATATTTACGTTTTATTTGCTCGCCAAGAATGTTTAAATCCTACCGAGAGAGAGAGAGAGAGAGAGAGAGAGAGAGAGAGAGAGAGAAAGGAGTACATTTTAACATATATAATTTTATTATTTAACCCGTCGAGAATACATCCCTGGTTAAACAAAAGTTTTTATTGAGAGTGAATTTATTTATATTACTATAAGATATCCTCCGATATTTTGCAGTAAAAAAATATAAATATCGAATGGAAATTAAATCTAGTTTGCGAAAAAGAAATTATTCTAACAACTCGCGAAAGAGTGATGCGCAAATATTTAATTACTCACCAAAGATCTCCGAACGAGAATTTTTTGGAATTTTTTTCAAATTCTCAGTCTCGTATGTATTTATATAATTCTAAAAAAAGCGAATTGTTTCAGCGTGTTTGAAATCTATCAAGTGTCGCTGCGCACTGGCGCCATTTTTATCACGTTGTCGACGGCGCACATTTGAAATTCCAAGATGGTGACTATCACGTGATTCGATGCGCGCATCGACATATAGGGCGGAATCCATAGACATTGCTCAAGATTCGAGATGGTCTTAAGCTAGTGCATGAACCAATCAAAGAGCTGCATTAGCATCTTTAGACCTTGCTTGAGATTAAGGGCGGAATCCATAGACGGTGCTCAAGATTCGAGATGGTCTTAAGCCGGAATCAGACTAGACATTGAAGATTGAAAGATTGAAATTTGACCAATCAAAACAATAGGAACTAAAATTCCTTTGTTCTCACTGGTCAAATTTTAATTTTCAATCTTCAATCTCAATCTTCAATGCGTAGTCTGATTCCGGCCTTAAGCTAGTGTATGAACCAATCAAAGAGCCGTATTAGCATCTTAAAGGTGCAATTTCATGGGCGCGTCATTTGTCGCGCGCGTCACGTATCATTCTAGAAGTAACTAGATTTGTCGCGCGCGTGAAACTTGATAAAGCTTGCTTTCTAGCAAGGACATAGTCAGACACTGTGTAACCACAGTATATACTGTAGCGCAACTCTCTGTCGGCACCTTTGATGTTAGTGTTGGCAAAAATGGAGTGCGCATGCGCGAAATCAGTAAGTTCCCCAGTAACGCCATCTAAACCACAGTGTAACACAGTGGGTGCGTTCAGCAGAACATTTGTTTTGCAACTGTTGTAAGTTTCCTTCGCGCTAATTGGATCATACTTTTAGATCTAGAAGAATGGTCCTATCTCAGCAGACAATCATAAAACGGTTGCAAAACTGTTGAGTCTGCTGAACGCAGCCTATGTCTGACTGTGTCCTTGCTGGAAAGCAAGGAAACATAACTTGAAAATTACTTACAAAAGATATCAGTCGCTATTAAAAGCGATGCAAATAACAGTAATAAAATATGCAGCTTATTCATATTGAGTGTTTTATATAAAGCTGAATAATAAGTCATCATATGTTCTAAGTCCCATATCAAGTAGTATTTTCACCACGATTTAGTAAGGGATAAATCAAACTTTAAAATTCTCAATATCGACATTATCTTTTCACCATAAATATTTATTTCTTTTACTAACTTGAGGTATGTCGATTTTCTCGTGGTATTCCATTATTAATATTCCCATATAAAGCAACAATTCACTTCTTAGCATTTTCCGCAATTTTTCAAAACATGCGACAAAACACAAGACACTTTTGCAGTTGGATAAATTCAACTGTATAAGCGCCAAACGCGACAAGGCTAGAAGTCACTAGAATCTAGTTATTTCTGAAGTGACGCGTGACGCGCGCGACAAATGACGCGCCCATGAAATTGCACCTTAAGACATTGCTGCAGAGTAAAGCGGGGAGCACAGACTTTTGCATAACGCATAACATGTAATGCATAAGAAATTCAATCAATCAGAATTCTTTATTTCATGGAAAGGAAGGAAACGGAGGGCTTTGATTGGTACATTTTCTTATGCATTACGTGTTATGCGTTATGCAAGAATCTGTGCTCCCCGCTTAAGTCCGAATCTACAATAGGTGTTTCAAGCCTTAAGTTGTAAGAATTTAACCAATTACAGTCGAATTCGAGGGGAATAATCGACTATGATTCGTTCATTTCTTATGGCTTAAGGCTTAAAACTCTATTGTAGATCCGGGGTAAGACCGGACTAGGGACTACGTTTACACGAATCGATTTACGCCGAAGTTATAACATCGATGTTAGGAAACTGACCTATCACAGTCATTCCATTCTTCGGAGGAACAGCTATGATTGGCAAGTTTCATAACTACAGATGTTATTAAACCCGATTAAGGATGCCGTGTAAACGTGGTCATTGATTCCGGCTTAAAGGTACTTTTTAAAAAAAGGTGAGTATGATTTTTCGCATCTACTAGTTGTTAGTTGTACAGCGAGTCGTTTAACGACTAGTAGGAAGGAATAAAGTTGAATTTGGTCAGTCTTACCCCGGATCTACAATACAGTTTTAAGCCTTAAGCCATAAGAAATGGGCGAATCACAGTTGATTATTCCCCTCGAATTCGACTGTAATTGGTCAGTTTCTTACGGCTTAAGTCTTAAAACACCTATTGTAGATCCGGATTTAAGAAAATCGGTAACCTTATGCCTAATTCACACTGGACGTAACAAGCGTCAAGCAGCGGAGCAGCAACCAACCAGCAAGGCCATATTGTTTACGTCGTGTTACGTCTCAGAAAGATCCGACCGATTCCTGGTTTCGATCTAATCTGCGGCTATGAGTGGGATACGGAATTCGCGATTCCGGGTATTGAATTAAGCTACGATCGATATTGT